AGCAGGTGGAAGGTGTGGACGTATCTAGGAAACATTCCGTGCTACATCGTGTAATTAGTGACGCATTGAAGAACATGGAGAGTGATGATATTAATGAATTCCAAGCGCTACCAGCTTACATGGAATTGTTCGCGTCCCAAAATCCAGGATCGAGAGTGTGCTGCCAATTAGATAGTTTTGGTAGATTTTTTCGCAGCTTTCTTTGCATTGGCTCTGTGGTTCGCATTCAAGATTCACTACTTCCTGTTTGGGAGTGCGATGGCACTCACATCAAGCACCCCCGCTACAATGGAATTTGTGTTACCTTAGTTGGCAAAGACGGTAACAAGAAACTTATTTCAGTAGCAGTTGCTTTTATTCACAAAGAAACCATTGACAACTTCGTCTGGTTTTTCTCAAGCTGTATTGCTGCTGGAATCGCTATGATCGACCTACGTTCGTAGATCGAGGTAAGCAACTGTCTGCACAAGCTGTTCTGGCTCGCGTCGGTCTGCGGGTAAATCTAAAGTTCTGCGCGGTTCATATCCGCTTCAATACTGTCGACAAGTTTAAATCAGTGCAGGTTACTAAAGACAGTGTCAACAAACTCATCATGCAATTGCAAAAGTCCACCACTGTTCGAGCATTCGAGCAAAACGTTGCTGCCATAGAAAAAGCATTTCCTACCGGTGTTGTTAGTGGTTCAGGCGGGCAACGGAAAGAGGAGCATGTTTGGTCGTACCTGCGTAGCATACATCCGATCAATTGGGCTGTAATTGGTAACAGTACATTGAGTGCTGATGAACTCAATTGGCTAGAGCAAAACTGGACAAACGCACCTGTATATGGCACCGCTACACCGTTGTTTGGCGTTCGGTCTACTAGCGGCGTGGAAGGCGACAACAACGGACTGTTATGGAATCGCACTCGTAATAATCTGGTGTTTCGGTCACTGCGTGCATACTGCTTGCGCGCTCTCGATACCCGCAACAAACTGTTTGCAATAGCACGAAAATGGATCAAATCAAATCACGGTCTCACACCTCATGCGATGACACTTTTTAATTTGGAAGAGAAACTCGTTAAAGAACTCACCGTCGTTCACGCGAAGCTGTCGGAGTTTTACGTCTTCAACCCATTTGACCGATCAGACGTAGCATCTGCAACAAAGATGTACAAAGTAGATATGAGCTCAGGTAAGTGCGAGTCGTGCAGAGTGTGGGAGCAGCTTCACATACCCTGCCGTCACGTACAAGCTGTCTTGATCGAATTAGAGCGGCAAAACTCTGGGGCAGTGCCTTTATATCGCACCTACGAATATTTTCATCAGGCATATTTGGTTAGAACAATCCACGCAGCTCTAGCCGAGATGGACATCAAGTTACCAGTCGACAATATTTTAAGCGCAGGACCTACTGTTCTCCCAGCTCCAATTTATCGTCAAGCTGGAGGTGCCCGCAAAAAGCGGAATGCAGAACTTCAGCATGGCGAAAAACGGATCCGTAGCAGGGGCGAGGAGTCTGGTCCATCTCGATCTAAAGCGAAGCTGGATACACCGAGCGAGATGCGACCGGCTCAATTAAACGAGCATGACGACACGCCTTTTATACAGGCGTTTTTCAAGTCTCAGCTATCTGCAGCACAGCCACAGCAGCGGCCCACATATCATTGCAGTCGGTGTGGGCTAGATGGGCACAATATAACTACTTGCACGTACACCGGGCAAGAAGAAGAGGGAGAAGACTCCATCTCCCCGGGCGTGTATGTGCTTGGGATTCCACCGTTAGTCAGCTGCGGCGCTGTTCATCCAACACAGGAAGCTGAAGAACTTTAATTCTAGCACGCATCTATCACGAGTAGTTAGCAAGATCACTCCGAGTGGCTAGCAGAATCTAAATGACAACTTACACGCTTTAGTTATGCTTCATACCTCTCGAGATTTCGTTTTGCATTAGTTTACCTGTAGCGTGCGAGCAAAAGCATTTTAGTTTTCAGCACCTCTTCGGCATCTTCACTAGCACATGAACTTTACAGACTCACCACGTGATGGCGCGCTGCATCCCGACGAGGTGCGAGATCCTCGTAGTGCAGCACCTGCTTGACTGTAAATGACCTCACCTAGTCATGAATTTGTTAGCCAATCAGCGTGAAGGAACTTTGTTGTGGCGTCTGGACTTCTTCGTTGGGGAGTCCAGAGGTATATATCCGTGTAGGTATGTGTGAGATGGTGAGCACCAAATGGCCTCGGGCTTGGGGGTTAAAAGGCAAATCAACAAAAGCTATTTATTATCTATTCGAAGGTAAATCCAAGCAATTCTCCAATCAAATCCATTCTACAACACCTTTCCCATTATGCAACTTGCGAGGTGGGTACATGTAACGGACGCGCCCTATTAGAGTCCGGACTATATTTAATAGTGCCGGCCGAAAGTGATAGAGAGGACTTTAAACGGGTGAGGACTTTATTCCTTGCTGATATGATTAGTGTACCAGGTTAATATCGTCTAACGCATCATCTAACCCTAAAGGATTTAACAGATCGACGTTTTCGTCCTCCTTCGACCACTTTTCACAAAATTTAGCGCCAATCACATCGTGCTTGGATATAAACCACGACGAGGGGTCTCTCGAGAAGCCTGCTATTTCAGCGCTCCGCATGATTGTTGCCTCATCCGTGTCTCGCCACGCGCGGAGGCCTCAATCGCAAACGGTGTCAACACTTGGCATACGTGAGCTACCAAAGCGAGTGCATTCGACTCGGTCCGACTCTTTCCAAGCGTTATTTCCATGTACAGTAGGTCCTTAAACGACATATTTAGTCCACTTGATCACCTCTTGCTTACGCTCACTGCTAACCGACTGCCTTTGATGAGGCATTATTGGAAATGACGGAAAAGTGTTTCTCTCTGTAGAATGGATGGTCAGCAAGTTAGTAATAGCAGATTTGGTAGCTTTTATAAGGACTCTATTCGGGAGAGGCTTGTATTTAATAGTGCAGGCATGTAGCACCCCACAGGACACTATTCGGTAGGGGGCTTTTATTCGGGCGCGTCCGTTAGTAGGAGAGTCATTATTCATTCTACAAGAATGGCTATTATAACAAATTAAGTCACACCGCTCTGTAAAGAATGATTCTACAAGTGCAAAGTGAGAACCCGTTTCTTAAAAAGTTTGTTGTCACTCCCATAAAGTAAATATGCGTGATTTAAAAAAAACTTTCTTCATCTGGTTGGACAAATTGCTTATCGCTACCGGTATTAGCATCGGAACATATGGAGGGATTTGTCGCATGGGTGGTGCGTATTTTTCCGTGGTCGTCTGTATCTTCTCTTACGAGATCTTTGCTGCAACAATATTCGAACAAGCGGACCGCTGCGGAGGCCCGCAAGCTGGGCCCTTTGGGCAAGTTGAGGCCAAGGTGAAGCGTGAGGCCTCGCCCAAATATGAAATTAGGCCGAAGCGTGAGGCCTCGCCCAAATATGAAATTAGGCCGTAATCATCAATATGTTTATGTGCACATCGTTACGCACAGCCATCTGTGTGATAAAAGCACCCACAGCCCTCAAATAGTGAGGGTTTGCACAGAAGTGACATCGTCGCTATTAAGGCTCGGTCTTATATGTGCCCACAATAGCGGGATGGGATGCCTGCAATTTCGAGAATCCGCAGGACTTCCAACCCGGTGTTATAGACAGGTGGCTCGTGTCGGCGGTGTGTGCTGCTGTGGAATATTAGACGATTGGATTTGAGATGAGCGGGATTTGTGTATCCCAAGACCGTGCCACACAACGTCCCAGTGGGACGAGAAGGGGTGTCAACCCTACAGGTCATCCCAATATCCCGCAAACTAGATCGCTGATTGGTCCATTCCTCTTTTGGGACGATATAAGACTGAGCCTAAATGGCTGAAATCAATATTAACAAATGCGAAGTCCGTAAAGACATGACATTTTTTTGGGGGGGGCTACTAATATGAGTTTCTCCATAGTAAAAATCGGGAGATGGACCCTGAATTATCTACCAAAATAGGTAAATGATATCCGGATAAGCCACGAAATGTCTTCTGTAAGCGTTTTGAATACGTCGATGTGGACCAAATTCTAGTTTTGTATTGTTTTCGAAACTAGCACAAATTCGACGTATTTCTTTTCACAGAACAATGGCATTTTGAATTTGTGTCTTGGAGCTCCAATGGCTTTCTAAATGTATATGAACGAGCCAGTTCAGACTCTTTTAAAAACACCGCCTGACCACTTCTAGAAAACTTCAATCGAAGTGCTTTCCCAGCAGAGTTGCGTACAGCACCACGTCGCAATTTTTTTGTTGCCGTTTAAATGTTGAAAGAAGTTTGCATGATGCCAAACTTGGCCTTGGCTGAAGCGCCTAAGTACATTGTAACACAGTCCTTCGAACAGCGAATTGTACACTAATTTAGTTTTATTAATAGCTGTAAATCGACTTGAACCCAGGAGCGTGCATCAATGATTACCTACATTTTTTCCGGCAACATCAAACAGCTGGTGCAATGCCCGACCAGTCGTTCACAGTAGTACAGTACAAGCAAAAGAATTTTTGAAAGCATCAGTCCATGATGGACTCCATCATGGACATGGACTCCATGTTATCAAGGCCATTTTAATACTGTCAAAGTAATTAAGGTTAGTTCTTCTTTACAATAGTGCATACACGTAGCACAATCTAGAACATCTTTGTTAAAATTACCAATTATTGTAGAGAATTTGCACACGTACTGTGAATTACGTGCCAGAGTCAAGGTGCATGTACTTTCTTATAGCAGATCGTCATGAAAACACTTTTTCCGTTTATAATAAATTTTATTGGGGTCTTTTCTGCATGTTCGGAGCTTGCACAATGTGCAGCACATGTACTGTATGTATTATCAACGGACAGTAGCACAGCATTATTCATGCAGCTGCTCACCTCGCTTCATTCTACAATCATCCATCAAGTGCAGAGTCACAAGAACGGCAGCGAGGAGGGTATCGTATGCCAACAACTCAATGGTGCAAGCCCAGTATCTCGTGATGGTGGCTGCCGCCACTCTGTTCGCAAGTGCTGATGGACTTCAGGTGGTCCCCAATTCGGCCAAATCCACCTCACTACGCGCACCCGCTGAAGAGCGCTACCAGCCTTACGTGGAAGGCAAGACTGATCGGTTCCTGATTAGCGAGGCTAAAAATGACGCCGCCACGGAGGCCCCGACTGGCTACGTGTTATCGACGCTCCAGGAAGACGACGACGACATGCTGCAGCAAGATGATGATGATGAGTATGAAGACGAGAGCGATAGCTTTTCTGGCGATGGTTCGAGCAGCGAGGAAAGAGCCAGGAGAAGGAGGAAAAGAAGGAAGAAAAAGAAACACAAAGAAACGGAAACTCCAACGCCGACCCCAACTCTTGAGCCGAATGCGACGGCCACTCCTTCGCCGGTACGTAGAAGGGTTCGAGACCCTTATGCGTGGGACAATGGCTTTTTCGGGTGGCTTAGCCGGAGGTTTAACGATTAATCGAGTTTGGGAGAATTCTTAGGCACAGCAGGTATGTTAGTGTCCAACAAGATAATCATTGAATACAATTTGACTGGCGAGTGAAACGAAGATTAGACAAAGAGAGTGAAGTGAATATGAAAGTTGAGGAGACCTGCGTTGGCGTCTATTCACGTCATTTTATCCTGTTGTGGAGCCCTTAAAATGCCAACTATGAAGCCTATTTGCCAATTAGCAATACCTCCACGCTTGGGTTACCAAACTATCATATTATAAGTTAAAAAGAAATAGTATTATGTTCGACTTTAAATACTAAAAGTAGCTCAGCTCTTCAAAGCGAAAAATATTATTTTAAATATTAGCTCAGAAATTAGAAAAATATTAGATACTTGATACTAGTATTATTATTTTATGGTATTACCATTTAGGTACGATTCTTACCATCTTAGTGGCTCTTTCGGTCAGGTCAGTAGTGATAGCAGGCCTTAAAACGGACGTGTATTTGCTCTAGTATTTCACACAAAGCCGATCGAGATGGAAAACTGCAAACAGTTGCAGTTGTTTGAGGTCGATAGAGCGAAATCTAGGTATTTGTTCTTTTTCTATGCGGATAGCCTCGTCCACATTGTACGTCTAAAAAAACTGTAATCTGTGATGCTAGATTAGTGCGCTCAGTAGTGCCAACCAGGGGTTAATGGTAACTCCAAAATCACTGAAGTTAATATTGTGAAAATATCACCTGTAGACCAGCTAATATAAAAAAAATCACCTAATATTTTCTTCTGAGACAATATGATATTATTAAATATCAACCTAATATTAGTTAATACGATATTAAATTTTCAATGATTGCGTAATTGGGCTACATTAACCAATCATATGTCGTTAATGCTCGACTAGCTGAAATATTACTAATCAACCGTGAGGGAGGGACAATTGTGAGAGTGACGGCAAGGTTGGCGTCGTGTGTTGGCACTGCTGAGCGGATTAATCTAGCACCACAGGCAGCAGGTTTATTAGACGCACGATGTCGACGAGGAGATCGGTAGAGAACAAGAACAAATGTCTTGATTTCGCTCTTCCAACGTTAAAGAGCTGCAAGCGTTTGCAGTTTTCCATCTCGATCGCCTTTGTCTGTGTCACAGTAAAATACTAGAGCAAATACTCGTCAGTCTTAAAGCCTACTGCTTCTCTAGAACCTGATCGAAAAAGTTATTTGGCTCCGCTCGGTTCACAGAGGGTAAGCTGGCAAGAAACGTACTTAAGTGGGAAAATTTATAAAATATCATGTAGTATCTAATATTTTTCAGTTCTTCGAGCTAATATAAAAATATTATGTTAACTTTTGCAAAACTGAGTTACTACTACTATTTAATATCGAAAATAGTACTACTACTACTAAAAATAGCATATTATATTTGGTTACCAGTGCCAACACACCACACCAACCTCTCACTGTTGATTAGTAATACTTCATCTAGTCGAACGTTAACGACATACGATTGGTGGATTAAAACCGTTTTTTTCGCAATCTTTCAGAAACATAATATCGTTTTAACTAATACTAAGTTGATATTTCCAAATATCCTTTCGTCTCAGAAGAAATTATTATTTAGTATTTTCTACATTAACTGGTCTACCAGGTGATATTATCACTATATTAACCTCACGTTACATTAACCACTGCCAACGACACGTGTTCTGGTGTGCCAGGTTTACTTTCGGCTCCTTGATGGTTACTTTAATATATTATGGATAGATATATTATAATGACCCTGTGGGCGATAAATGTAGCACTCATTATTAATTGGGAAAAGCCTAATCGAGTCCTAAATGGCGTATATACGATGCAAGTAAAGGCACGCTGACTCCCTTAGGGCCCTCTAGAAAGCAAGCGCAGCGAGCCTCCCCGCGGAGTGGTGGGTTTAGTGCCTACTTCGAAGTACGCGAAAAGGCTCGTATTTGAGAAGAATAATTTGAGACAGGACATTTTAAAACTCGTTTACGACGCATTATTTGACAACATAATTTGAGACAAATAAACAGTTTGTTTAAAATACTCGAGACGTTGTGCAGCTGTCTCACAACAGTGAAAATATACACTGAAGGCGAATGGGGATAGGGCCGGCTAGGTATTGTCTTTTTTGCTGGGAGAAATATACGTTAGCTTACTGCTCACGGTGACCACAGATTACAAAGAAACGAGTGGCCGAGGCTACTTAGCGCTGACATGGCTAATGTAGACTGCAACACTGAAGAGCCCCCCCCCCTCCCAATCAGAAGTCCCAGCATTAGTAAGTGCAAGAAGGCCTTCCGTTTCGTACCGTCGAGTGACATCATGCTGCTCAAAGAAGTCCTCAAGCACAGACTCTGGGCGGCTAGCCATGGCGAGACGCTGGCCGCGTGGACAAGCGTCGCCACAAGACTCAAGGCAGCGCTCATATCGTGTACCGCCGACGGCAAGGCTCGCCGTCGCCGCTTCAATGCGCTCCTGCAGGTATTTCGCCGCGACGAGCTCGAGTCGTTGAGAGCGTCGGGTTCTGCCGAAGTCTACGAGGAGTGTGAGCAACTACTGACAGACCGCATGACTCTGGTACGTTTTAATTGATACTAGTGACTTAAGTTTTGCTTATGCTTTTTATCTACAGTATAATGAGCACGCACAAGCCAAGGCTGACAAGACAGAAAAGGAGAAAAGAGAGGCTGAACGCCGTGAGTCGGTTTCGGCAGAAGTAGTTCAGAGCGCAATGGAGGGCTTACGACAGTCCCGTTCAGGAAGCTCTAAAAGTAAGCTATCGACCCCCCCAGCCGAGCAAAAAGAAGAAAACGTCAAGCACTGAGGCTCTTGTCGAGTTTCATGACACCAAGACAGAAGCACGGATCTCTCGAGAGAAGCAAAAAGAACGACAGCTTGACCCAGAAGAGCGCCGGCTTGCGCTAGAAGAGCAGCGTCTGCAGCAGGACCGAGACAGGTTAGACAAATTGATGGGAATGAAGGCTAGCCAGATTTTTCTCATGTCCAAGTTGATAGAGAAGATGAATCAATAAAGCCGCCTATGCACTGTCTAGATATTCTGCCATTGTTGGTGGTTTCAAACCAAAGAAGGCAGACGTTTGACTACCGTAGATGCACGTGTATAAGTTTGCTAGAAACGCGCCCCTGACTTACATCCTGCTGAGGCGCTGTAGAAACACCTTTTGGTTTTTCGAGAAATCTACAAACGCCCAAAAGCGAACAATTTTCCAAATCCACACTAGCGCGTACTTTGCTCATTCCCTTGTTGAATAGTTGCTCGTCTTCTGTTAGCTTTTCTTCTTGAAATGGAGCAACAATATGTCGTTGCTGGTCATAGGCAGGGTCTCCAATAAATACGTAATGATAACCATCAGCACCAAGGATGGAAACGCTGCCTCGAAAAGCCCACTTTGCTGCAGAATATAGGCATCGTGACGTGCTCCCAAAAAGGGGCCACTTAGGTGGATTATGATACCATCGGGAGCAATCACGGACAGTTATATTTCAGCGCATGCTTTCTCTGCAACAGACACAACAAATAACTTGTCAAAAACGATTATTTAGAGCCTCACAATTTCGTCGATTACCTTGTGCCCATTGAACATGTACTTCTGGTGCCGTACTGGACGACAAGTACCGCGTACTGTACCGTCAATAAATCCGACACACGTTCGTAGTGGTGCGCCCTTTAGATAAATAGCTTTTGCGTACATGTCGGGTGTGTCACTGCAAAACCGGACTTGGTCAAAGCTTAGTAACTTTTGATACGTGTCGTAGAGATAATCTAGAGCCTCATTAGAAATCGAAGCAATGGCTGCCTCGTCCCGCCCGAACAGGTCCTTTAGATCATCTAAACGTGGTGGATATGCCATACGCCGGATAAATATGCATAGAGCCTCGAGTGCTGACACGAGATAGCGATGGCGAGTCGGAAATGGGTCTCGAAGCTTGAAATGGTCTACAAGGCGCAAAATGATGTCTTTCTCAAAACAGAATTTTCTTTTCCAAGTGCCGTCATGTGGTGGCAGCTTAAAGTTGAAGCGATAAAAAGCTCGAGCGCTGTTTTCGCGCGCCAATAGCACAGCAATCACCACTTCGTCCTCGTCAGAGCTGGAGCTCTCACTGTCCATTGCTTTGCCCCTTTCAAAATGTTACTGCTGCACAAGGCTTTAGTCACATATGCTCCCTGTTTAATCGGATATCATCTCACTGTACATATTCACTGTTTTGAGACAGCTGCACAAGGTCTCTACTATCGCAGTACTTTGTTACTGAATCGATTTTAATCAAATCATCATGTAGCAAGGTGATCGCTCGTATATTAGCGATTACGTGCCTTACCTGGTAATGTAAACACTTCAGAACGCCCTCACAGCATCGTTTTTTCGGCAATAGGAGAAGAAGCTGTACAATTCAACAGAGCTCCACAGCTCCGGTCCATTTTATAAGTCATAAAAGCAGTATGACTCAAGAAGTTCGATGGTCTGGAGAAGTTTAAATTTAGTTACTGGGTACTTCCTGTAATCACATTTTTAATTATATTTGCGTATTCGTCGATATTATGTTGCATGAACGCGGCGATTTTGCTCGACGACGTTTTTGGTTTTGAGGGGGTACTGCTTACATCAGTCTTTGTTAGCAAAGCATCAAACGTATACTATCAGCATTCTAGAAATCCGTGTGGCACGGACTGATACCTATCAGCCACTCCATATTGTGTTTGTGACACCACTAGACCACCACTAGCACTCTTGCCCTGGAGACGCTCACTCGGCAGATTATTTTGGCCAGTGGTCAAAGTTCTATCACAAACGTAACAGCCAGTAATGCTCGAGGGGTTCGGGACATTCCCTTACTATCAACCATTCAGCAATCTCACCCCGCTAGCCCAGTCACCCCCCCCCCCGCCGTACACCCCCGATGGTTTTCCGACACCCTTGGCAGATACTAGCGGTTGCAATAACCCAGAGGCCCTAAGAAGTTCCGTGCTGCGAAAAGTGATCTTAAACAGTGCTATGTATGCATGGACACCACCCCAGATCCAA